TAAGCAAACATAGCTACTGCCAAGACAACAACTTGTGTGAACATTTAACTCACACAGAGAATCTAAGGCTCTGATAAAAAAAAAGATCAAAAAGCACCCACACACAATGAAAGTCAATAATCTGTCACAATCAGATACCCCAATGTATTGTCATTTCCAGCAGGTCAGTCTGCTGCAAGACTGTTATAATAGAAAATAGTCCTGAGATTTCATTCACAGAGGTTTTAAGATGTAGCCTTAGAACCCCCTGGGAACTCACAATGTATTCTCTGCATTTTCAATGTGGCAATATTTTTTGTGTTGTTACACCAAAGTTCTTTGTAGGGCTCCCAAAAGAATGTTAACAGTGATAAAATCTTGGTTCTAGAATTGACAGATTTCCTTTCTGATGTAAGGAACAGCAATGCTTTACTACCTGAGGATTAAAAATGTAAAACAACTTTGTGATTAGGCTGCTGTAGATGCTGTTTAATAACTTCCTGAGGAGATTAGGAATTTTTTTTTTTGTACAAAGGGAAAAAGAGATTGTAGAATTGCAATACTATGCTTTGGGCAATGAGGAGATCCAGGTCAGTAGACAGTATCAAATCAAATATGAAAATCTGTCATAAGTGAGAGATTCCAAGGAAGGAAAGTTCTGAATTTTCCTCTTAATATATACAGATCTATTAAGAATATTGAGCACTGTACTCCAAAAGCAATCAAAGTTTAGCATCATCTTATACTACTATTTTTATTTGGGGCCATTTTGAATGTACAAAAGTCTATACAGATGTCTGCCTCTCTCTCTTTTTTACACATTCTAAGTAAGAAAAATGTATGGTTTAAAAAGTACCATTAGTAATTTATTTTACAAGACTCACATGCTTTATATGAACAATGTAAGTTATCAGGTGAAGAGTTACAATTCATTCTCCTGCGAGGATCAGAAATATCCATTTAATCATTATTATTCCCTAGGATAATTATTTGGGCCTTTTCCAGATATAAGGAACCAGTCAAGAAGTTCTCCTGACTGGGGGCAGGATGGAGGAGTTACTTACTCCAGGAAATACCAGAAGGGATTGTCTCTTGAGAAATCAATATTATTAAGAGAGGTGAGGGCTTCCAAAGGCATGCTGTTAAACTTAACCTGTATCATTTCTGGATTGCTGTTATTATTATAAGGCACATGCTAAATCAGACTGAAGCACCAGCTTCTCAAAATTCCTGAAACTTTCCTAGTAGAATAAATAGCCCTTGGACCTGGAAGCACCTTGTACTGGCTGATGATGACTAGTAGTCACCCATCCTCTAATGGTCATGATCTGCCACAGAAAAGTCTTTGGAAGAGAGCATTCCCAAATCAAATTCCAAGCTGATTTGGGACATCACCCCAGAAAGACACAGAACTTTTAATTCGATTTAATTGGTTGTGGTTGTGGTTGCTTTTTGTTGGTTGGTTGGTTGGTTTGTTTGTTGTGTGAGGTTTGATTTGCTCAGGCAAAGCTCCATGAGTTTTATCAGAGCAAGGTCATTTCAGACTCATCAAAAATCTGGTAGGTTTCGTGTTTGTAATGTTTTTGCTGGGGCACTGTGATAGAAGACTAGAAAATACAGTTATAATCTCAGACAAATCAGCTGTTACTTCCAAATATGACATAGCAGTCCAAGAAAAATGACAAAGACTCAAAATCTTGGGGGAAAATAATTTGCTGAGGAACTTCAGTTCCTTCAGAAACTAAGAGAGGTTGTGCATATTTGGTATCTCTTATCTCTTATGAATAAGTCAAGAGCATCTTTCTGTTTTGTCTGTTAGTAATTTGTATGGATCCAGGAAATAATACATAGTCAGCAAACCAAAAGGAATGTCTGAGCTACTTCTGATTTTCATCTTGCAGTGCTTGACACTATCTTTCATAATATGGGGAGAAGAGAGGAATGTTTAAATTATATTGCTAAGAAATTATCTAATTTCCATGGACAGTTTCCTTTTCATTGGCCTTAAGGCAAACAGAGCTGACACGTGTTCCTTATTCCAAATGGAATTCAACCACTAACCTTACTGAATCCAAACAAGTTCACTGCATGCAAGAATATTTTATATGATGTTTTTTCAAGATGAAAACTGCACCAGAAGCAAGGCAATGGCTTGGCTTAGAAAGACTTGGCTTTGTCTCATCAGAGCTTTGTGTTTGCCTGTAGGAAATAATACATTCCTTAATACTTCTCCATATATAGAATAAAGATTTGTTTTACATGTTATAAATGTGAAGCTTTTCAGCATATTTGTACCCATTACTCTGATTTAATTTGAAGATTTTATTGCTTATCTCAAGAGGGAAAGCTGAGAAAGCTTTTTGTCAGACAACTTCCCAAAAATACTGGGCATTTTTTTACTGCAAGACTGAACCTTCTCGCCAGGAGAACTGACTATGAATGGCAGTATAAAAGCTGGTTTCACTATCATCTTGTTCTTCTGTTGCTATAATGGGGAAGCATATATGGAAATCAGTGAAGTGACTTACATGAAGTCACCATGGATGCTTTGCTGGTGACTTTGTGACATGTAGGTGTTAATCCAAATTTCCAGGGACAGTCTGAGGAGGGAAGGCTCAAGCAAAAGGACAAAGAAGAGTGAATGACAAGGAACAACAAGGTCCCACAAAAGAGAGAGAAGTGCTAGAAGAAAGAAAAATGAAGCAGGAGAAATCAAAATAGATTTTCAGGTCATTATGTTAGAAATATAAGTAAGGTCTATTAAAATGCTTATTTGCTAGTAATCTATCCAAAAGTGCTCCCTGCAAAAGTTTGGAAACACTGTGTTACAGATACAAAAAGTTTTAATGAGACAGCTGCTTTTCTCCTACATTTAAATTTTTGATTTTGTAAGCAGGGTTTTGTATGGAACTGCCTATTACCAAATAAAGATAGTGTTTTAGGTACTGAAATTGATGCTTAGCAATTTTTAAGCTTTTTGGCTAACACATGCATTATTTATATTACAGTATTGTTGAGAGAACTGTACCAAATTTTACTAGGTGGCAAGCAAAAACATAACCATTCTTAAAAAAACCCTATAATTTATCTAGCCAACAGAGAAATTGTAGGACACAGGAAATTACAATGTTTTAGTTAGGGAAGACAGACTTTATAGAAAACTGGGGAGAGGATTCATCTTTATCTATTTACAGACATGTTATAAATGACTGACCTGTCTTCTCTTCATAGGTGGTGGAGAGAAGGTACAAATTATCTGATCTATTTTTGAGTTCTGTTGCAAGGTTTAATAAACAGTACTCTAGAAGTGTCCATTTCTGTTATCTGTAGCTGATACTGAGACAAGTAGCTCAGATGGGACCTTTATATTTTTTTTGCAAAATTAAAAATAAAAGGTCAGAAAGCATTTGTTTACCCCAGTTAGAGCTTTTTAGAGGACTTCTATATGTATTGGTTTATTTTTCTGGCCAATGTATCTGTAGAAGACATTACTATTATTTTATTATTATTATTATTATTATTATTATTATTATTATTATTATTATTATTATTATTATTATTATTATTATTTTCATCATCATCATTATTTACATTCCTTGCCAATTTATATAACATTGTCATAGACATTATGTGCATTGCTACATCAAATGCCATATACATGATATTCACTGAGCTCTTGATACAGGTTATTCTGGGATCTCTCACATTTTAGTTTTCCATGTCAAATGTAAATTTTGAAGAGCGTGAGAAATGTTTTAGAACTTGAGAAAAAAAATCAGTACATGTCCTTTGTGTGCTCTAACTTGCTTGCAGCAAAGAGTGAACACATTCTCAAAAGCAGAGCTGCATAAAGGATTAAATGAACTGTCCCACTGGATGTGGGAGGCAGCTGAGTGTTTCTAGAGAGCAATTCCCCCTGGACCAGGGTTTTCATTCTAGCCAGACATGATTTATCAATATGAATACTTGACAAGACAGAAACAATAGAAGCTGCATTAAAGGCAGCCTTTTAAGAGTTTTGATTCTTCCAACTACTTTCTCACTTGCCTCATAAGCATTCCTTCATATTTGTACTTTTCACCTACAAACTGCTGTTATCTTACTTAGTAGTCTTCTTTTCCTTCTCCATCTATCCTTAGAAGTACTACTTCTAAGTAGTACTTAATTTAAAGTAATTTCAAGAATTAAACTGGATTTATAACACGAGGAATTTACCACAGTTAGGAGCCCAGTGCAGAAGCCATTGGAATGTGTTGCAGGAATCCTAATGCTGCTGGTTGAGCTGAGGGCAGCTTTGTTCAACCAATTTTTTAAATTTTTTTTTTTTTTTTGCGAGATCTGAATGTAGTAAATGCTTTTTTTTCCCAGAAAAAAAAAAGTATATGCTACTTTTCTGAAAACAGAATCACTGCTTTTCATTATCAAATTCTTCTTTCCAGTTAGGCTTTTTTAGAACACTCTAGTTTAAAAGTATCTGTATGTGGTGGCACAAAGAACACCGGGTTTGTGGTTCAGCAGGGATATTTACATTTAAAGTTTTAAGGATTAACTTAATAAATTGCTCCATTTACTGTGATTATCTAGTCTGATGCTGCACAAGGTCTGTCTTCATACTTTGCATATGGCAATGCATACTAAGCATCTCTCTCTCTACAAACAACAACTGATTTCACAAGACACTTGCAGTAATATTTTAGACAGTGGACATCTAATTCAAAGGTCTTACAAACAAGGAGAGAAGGCATGATAGATACTTCAATGAGTCAAAGAATGTTCCCACATGAGAATCAATTTTTACAATATTTATGTCTCTTTTTAGCAGTGGATGTTTTACAGTGTGGACCAAGCAATGAATTCTTTAGTATATGCTCCCTTTTGTGACAGCACAGAAATATCAGAACAAAATGTTTCCATAAATTTTTTCCTGGAAAGTACTTATAATATTTAAAAGTATCAGTTTAATTAGACATTAGCAACAGCTTCCACTGTCCCCAGCTACTTATGTTGTGTATTATTTTCAGGGCTGAAAATCATGCAGCTGCTCTCTAAAACAAATAGGAAAAACCATCAGAAATGTGAGATTTCCTATAAACATGAAGATAAAATCACACCTCTGTGACCTTGACAACGTTAGGGTAAGTCTTAACTTAAGATCTTAACTTAACTTTGGCAGCTCAGTAATCCTGTTTTCTACCCATGGTATGGTTTGTGACATCCCTGGTTGCTTGTCGATAAGAATGGCAGCTAATTTTGACAGAGGGCATTTGGACATTATTTGAAAGCTGTGAATTCTAGCTTCACTAGCCCAGGTTATAGCTTTGAAATTAACACTCGTTTGTGCACTAACCAAATCGTGTGTCTCCATGGTGAGTGGTCTCCAGGTCCATACAGTCACCCCCAGCTTCAACACAAATCACAACCAACGTCCCACAACCCCACCATTTCCAGGTCTACATTAGACACAAAATCACATCAAGTCCTGCTGGTACCTGTAGAAATATACAGTTCTGGTGGCTGTGGGAGTTTTGCAGGCATTTAAAAGAAACGCAAAGTAATGCCAAAATTGGCAGTAAGTTAATTACTTGCTTAAGAAGGTTCTCTTAATTCTTGCCAATGCCTAAATACTCAATGGCAGCAAATCTGTCTAATTGTTTCAGGGCCCTCCTATTTCTATGTTTTTGCTATTAGAGATCCAGGGCATTTTACACACTTCAGGTGTTTTTAAAAATATACTGCAGATGCAGCATTAAATCTCTTGTTTTTGAGAAAAGTAATATCTATGCTGTTTGTGACAGACATTTTAAATGGATAGAGTTCCTCTTGTTTTTTAAATTAGCAGGTATCAAATGTGCTGAATCAATCTTTATTGTCCTGTCACAAAGCAGAAGAGATTTTATTTAGATGCTGAAGTGAGTGATGTGTGTTCTGGGTAAAGGTAGTCTCTAGGTAAAGATAGCTTGCAGTGCAAGAATGAATTTTTGTTAAATTCACCTATGGGCATGCTTTGTATGCTAATATGAGCCAGATAAAACTGGTCAGTCTGGGCTGATTTTCCATTAGGGATTGTACTGATTTTGGCCAAACTGATTCATTTATAGCAAATTCTTTTATCCCCTCAGGATACTGAATGACAGACTCTCTCTTTCCAGGAAAAATATAACTTTTGTGGTCTTTTGGTCCAGCTGTTTTTAGCAAATGATAAGGACTTTCCACGTCATAAACCAGCAACAGTTATCTTTAATTTGCATTAGCATGTAAAGCATGTCCATAGGTGAATTAAGCATGTTAAAATACATAATTATCGAAATATTAAGCATATATTTTAATTAATATTTAATTAAAATATTAATATTCAGTATTAAGCATATAGTTTAAATTTTCACTCTGGACACATAATCTAACAAAGAATAATACTGTATGGGTGAGTTGGTTAATAAAATAGCTCAAAAATTAATTTCTTGCATATATGCCATAGGAAATACCTATGTGCAAAATATAAAGGAATATGAGTTCTTGCTCTGTTTTGCTAAAACTCTGTAGTGCTATTTTGTGCCATCATGCCTGGTGTGGTGTTACAAGAGGACTACACCAGTGTCCATTTGTTTCACTCAGTGAAAGTAAGCTACAGAACATTGTCTGTTCCCAAGGTAAATGGTTAAGGAGGTAATTACCAGAGTGGGAGAAGACAAGGACACAAAATATAGTATAAAATAAGATTATTTAAATGTAGAGAGAGAATTATAATGTGTTTTTTTTTCCCTTGTATTCTTTAGCTGTTTCTTTGCTTTTGTCTTAAACACAGAACTTGAGTTCACATTTACTCGGTCAAGTAAATTTAAAGCAACCCCTTCTAACCCTAATGATACCCTGGCACACAAATTCTTGCTTTCTTGTGTTAGTGGCATGTCTTCACTGCAGAGAAGAAGGGTTTCTAGTTCATGACAAATTACATTCTGAAATTTGATTTCACTCTAAATTATCTGATCAAGTGAAACTATTCAGTTTCCTGAGAACTACAAATTTGTTAGAAGCTCCATTTTGTAACAGCATCAAATGTTGCTTCACTGACCTTATGTGCCCTAGACCCTTATGGCCCTCTAGCAGTATGACTGAATTTCTTAAATGTAGATAAACTTCACTGAACAGCTGAATGCACCACGAGTCTGTGGGATAAAGCCCAGGCTGCTGCAGCCCTGGCTCCATGGAAGAGCGTGATGGTGTCTGACTGGCTGCCCTGCATCCTGCTCTGCCTCTCTGCAGAGACAGGTGGACTCAGGGCTCCTGGGACTTTGGTGGATTTTGTAGACTCCCTGATCTCCAGGGATGAAGGTAACTCAGGAAAAGGTACACCAAACAAAGGACCTTGAGCTTGATTCTCTAAATGTTAGTGAAAAATGGCAATGACCTCTATTGTCACTTTTGATAAACAGACAGAGTTTATTGTGCTTTACCCACTCCCATGAGAATGATTTAGTCAGATGCCTCCCATGTACCTATTTACCCTCATCAGCTTAGCAATGGGCTATACAAATCACCTTTGTATTTTATTTCAGAAGCCCAGGAAATCATAGATTACCATGTGATCTCTCTACCATAGATTAGTTTGAAGAAATAGCAGTAAGGAAAAGTAGACGCCTTGGAAAGTAACCATATTTGATACAGGAGCTCTTGAAAGATACTAAACATGAAACCTACAGATCTATTGGTTTCATAGGGTCACTTTTCAGAGGAAAACTGTGAAAAGGGAGAATTTTTTTGATTTGAATTATTCCTGTTTACTCTTGACCATTATTCCTCTGCTGTTTCCTGATAAAGCATGTTATATCAAATAATAATATAATATCATAGCAACATAAAGTAAACCACTCTTACAGATTTAGAAGATGCTGATACCATTATATTTAGCTGTTGCAAAACAATTATTGAGCTGGCATCTTCAAATAGATTTTTTTTCTGGTTAAAAAAGTGGTGCTACTATCTGATGTGACATTGTGCCTCTAAGTTGCTTCAGGCTTTTTTAAAAAAGTCTTTAAAAGTCAATTCTTTTGCTGCTAAACAACTTTGTCATGGCCTTGTCTCTTTAACTAGCTGTGTTGGAAAATATTTTTCTTTCATTTTAATGTCAACCACCAACCCAAACCTGTCATTGAAAAAACATTGAAAAAAACTGTGCACCAGCTAACATCTCCTGCTGTGCAGTCTCTGTTTTCATGGAGTGGATGGGAAAACAGCTATATCAAAAAACAGCTCAGTAAGTTGCAGAACACTAACTAGAGTCATACTAAAAGGAACTTACACAATATTTTTTAAATAGGTAAGTGTTTTAAAGCTTATCTTCCTGGCCTGAAACACTAGTAAAAACTGGTTGGGAAAAAAATGAAAGTCTCAGATGTAAATCAATTAAATTCTTTCAAGAAGCTGCAGAAAGTATTAGAAGTTCAAGATGTTTAATTAATTCTTCCTACAGAATACTTGCAAGCATGTTCACTTTCTCAATTTCTAGTAAACTGACAACTATGGAAATAAAATTCTGCACTCTTTTGAGAGCATAGCCCCTCCTTACAAACAGTCCTCAGAAGGTTACAGTGGGTTATTGATGCCACAAAATTTGTGCACTGGAAACACAACATGCTTTTTACAGGGCATCTACCAGAACTCCAGAACATTTGCAAGCATTTTTGCCACTGTCATTTTTGGTTTTCTTCAGACACGTGTGTTTTTCCCTGCCATGCCAGACTGCCCTTGTGGCAGCTCCGTGCAGCGGTGCCGGGCAGGATGATCCGAGCTGCGCGGAGGATGAGCAGCCACATCAGGGCTGGAGCCAACTGTGCCTGCCTGGAGCAGCTCTGTCCCGGCTTCAGCTGGGGTACACTTCATCAGCACCTGTCACTGTGCTCTGTTTCTGACTCAGAATGCAAATGGTGCTGATAACACGCTGATGTTTTGGTTTTTTGCTAAATCATGTTTATCCTAAGCAAGGACTGTTTTCTTCCTTGTCTCATGCTCTGCCAGCAAGGAGGTAGGCAAAAAAACAAACTGGGGGGAAGCATAGCCAGGACAGGTTACCCAAACTGACCAAAGGGACATCCACACCACATCATGCCCCGTATATAAACTCAGGAATTGCCTGAAAGGTTGGCTGATCTGGGTTTGGGAAGGGGCTCTGTCAGCAGGTTGTGAGCAGTTGCATTGTGGATCACTTGCTGGGGTTTTTTTCACCCCCCTTTTTTTATCATTATTACTATTTAGCACTATTTTTGTATTTTACTTCATTTTCAATTATTTAACTGGTCTTGTATCAAAATACAAGTTTTAATTCAGTGTTCCTCATTCCACTGAAGTGGGGGGAGAAAGAAAGGAAGGGGGTCAGGCAAGTGGCTGTGTGATGTTTCATCTCTAGCTGCACTTAAACCATGACAGACTGATTCCAGTAGCTCATCATTAAACTGTTTCCAACACTAAAGAGAAAAAGTAGGACTTGTTCTGCATTTTCCCATGCGATTGTGTTAGTTATAGCATCGTGTAAGTGCAAAGGATGCCACCAAGTTGATCCAAGGGATGAAGCACCTCTCCTATGAGGAAAGGCTGAGAGGAGAACTGTGTTTGTCCAGCCAGGGAAAGAGAAGGCTTTGGGGTCACCTACCTGTGTCCTTTCAGTACCCAAAGGGACCCTACAAGAGAGATGAAGAAAGACTATTTACAAGGACATGTAGTGACATGACAAGGGAAATGGCTTCACACTGAAAGAGAGAAGGCTTAAATTAGATATTAGGAAGAAATTCTTTATTGTGAGGGTGGTGAGGCTCTGGAAAGGGTTGTCCAGAGAAGTTGTGGATGTCCCATCCCTGGCAGTGCTCAAGACCAGGTTGCATGGAGCTCTGAGCAGCCTGCTCTAGTGGGAGATGTCCCTGCCCATGGCAGGGGGGTTGGAATGACATTGTCTTTAAGGCCCCTTCCAACCCAAAGCATTCTGTGATTATACCATATGAAACAGAATCTTTTATTTAGTGTTTGATTATCAGAAACTGCCCACCTTGAACTCTGGTGACATAAAATGGGCTAAAATGTAAAGAAAAATATGACTGAGATAATATAATAATTTGATATTTTACAGGAAAATTTTACTAAAAAGACTGTATGTATCCCTGACTACTTCTTTGGAGCCAACTAAGCTGATACTGTCTGGATGAGAAAATGCATTGTAACATTAGGAAAAGATGAAACTTGTAAGGCAAACTCAAATACTCAGAAAAATATTTGTCTGGAGATTAGGAAACACAAAAGCAGAGGTCTGTCTGTCTGAACCTACAGGGAAGAAGGTCCTACATGAGAACAAGAGCAGCCTTCAAAGTGCTCCTTTGAAGCACTTTGTGACCTGATGTATATAATAATACCCGAGATCTGTTTAAGGACTGAGACAATTACCCCCTGAAAACTTCTTCATGAGTGGACTTGCAGTCTTCCTTGTGTTTGGACCAATTGGAGGAGGAAAGAACAGTGGTCCTGGATTAACAGCCAATATTGAATCAAACTTATTGTCTGCAGTTTTCCAAATATGTACAAGAATGGCTTGTCTTGAGAGCTCACCTGCTGCTTTCCTATCTGCATCTACTTTATCCTGCAGCTGTGAAACATCACTTGACACCAAGCCCAGTGCTTAAGGGACGTCCCTGGGGCCAGTGCACAAGGGGTCCTGGTGCTGCCTGCTGCAGTGAGGACTTTCCAGGGTCAGTGGCAAGGTGGGAGTTGGAGCTGCTCCACTTGGTGTTGGCCCCCTCCACACTCCAGACAGCTAAAGCAAAACCAAAACAGGGACTCTCAGAAATTACACAGCCAAGCAGTTCCTCTGGTCTGAGAAGCAGACTGATCCCCCACCAGGAATTCTGAGGCACCCAGGTGCCATGGTACACCATGGCAGGTCTGGACACATCCCACAAATCCACACCAAGCTCCTGGCCACTATTGGCACTGTCTGCTGTCTGTCTGCTCATGCAGAGAGGTTTTACCTGCAGAATACAGGCCAGGCAGGTGGGACTCTGGGTTCTTATCTGTCACCTTTACTCTTGAGAAGAAAGAATTTCAGGGAAGTTTCAGGACTTTTTTACACATTGCCACAGCAAAGTAACTACTGAGGAGATTAGAAACTGGTCATACACCTGAAAAAGTAAATAAGGAGAACATGACCTCCATGGATTTGTATCCATGGCTGTGGGAGTGCTGGTGTTGGCTTTTTGGAAAACCACTTTTCAAAGAATTGAATTCAAGATATAGCCCACCTTGCTGTTCTCCTCTCTTCCATAGGGACACTTGCACATTAATGAAGGCACTGCAAACCTTTAACTCAACATTAGTTATGAGTGTAACTCCTACAGGTAGCTCAGTTTTCACGGGACTAAGTTGCAAAAGGAGGTACCGTGTTTTTCCTGGTCATATTGCAAACCAAGGCTCCGGTGGGATATTGTCTGTACTTTTCAGACAAGCCATTTCTTAGGGACATGGTAAACTTCTGTATATCCACCTGGACCCACATCAGAAAACCAGCTCCTTCCCCGCTGACTTCAGTGGAGACAGTACTGCACTGACACCTCCACATTTCCAAGAACGGCGAATAAATGCACCAACACGGAAGCTTGATAACAATTCTACACATTCTCATCTCCAGTACTTTCCTAAATGTTTATTGATTCTCAGAAAACTTCCATTCTGTCTTTACTCTTCCCCTCTCAATGGATTTTCTCTCTAAATGAGAGGTTGCTAGACTATCCTGAACCAGTTTCTGTGCTTAAACAAAATTATTACTTTGAATTTTGATTGTAAAGATTCTGACAGAATGAGAACTTTTAAAACTAGACATGAAAAGAAGACATATGCACTGAAGGACAAGATTTAGCAAATCCAAACACTAAAAGGAAAGGATTTCTATCAAATACATCAATTAAAATCCAGGTATTCTTTAGCTTGATGCTTCTTGTCAGCTTAAGGACAACAGCAAAATTATTTGTGAATTTGTTTTTTTTTTTTTTTATCCAGATGATGTTAAAGACTTTTGAGGAAGCATATAAAAAATAAATCATCTTTTTTTACTCTTTGTGTAAAGACACAGGTCTGTGACTTCTTCATCAAATATTGTCAAGATTAAAACATGTTTAGAATTTAAATTCTGTATTTAATATTGATAAATCTAGTTTGCAATGTTTCTGCTCCTTCTTTAAGCTAGAGACAGGATTGATATACATGACATTGCTTTTGGTGGTGTGCAAGAAATTCTATAAGTCAAACTCATTCAAACCATGTTGGAATACAGAATATTTACCTTTTCTGTAATATTTTTAATTTTGTAAACACCGAAAGAGGATCATGATTTTGTTTACAATGCTGCTGAAAAAAACCTGTCAAACTCTTTTGACATTCAGCAGAGTGCTATTCTTGTTCCCACCCCTCAAGATAATAACAAAAGACCTTCAACCAAGCACAAAAATAAATAATGTTGTTCTGCCCTGGCAAGCAAATTTTTAGTATCTTGCAAATTACCTGCTTTATTTCTGTGATGACAATGGTATACAGAGAGGATGGAAGCTGCATTCCTTGTGACTTACTGCAAGTGCTCCTGGACAAAGCTTGGGGTTTTATTAGTCACATTTTTTAGCTGTTACTGAAATATTTTTCAAAATAGTTTTGTTAAAAAAGATCTAGACTATTTGCTCAATTATTAGGTAAATGGTTTGCTATGTTCCTTCTCTGCTCACTGTCAGTGTGGATAGCTTAGCAAATGATGATTCAGTCCTTGGTCCAAACCTCATTGTACTGAGTCTGCTCCAGATGTCATAAATATATCTTGTTGGGATATTTTATTTCTCTCACATCCCTGCAGGCAGCCCAGACTGGAATGGATTTATGTATTTTTATTTTGAGACTGTTTTTGCTGGAAGGCCTACCAAAAAAACCCCAGGCTCCGCATTCTGAGTGAGCTGAAGTTGTACAGCATGTACACCTTAATTTAGCTAGTGAGTTGATTTATGCTCAAAAATATCTGAAGTGGTTTCCCTTCAATACCCTTCAGAATCTGAGATATTTTCTCTCATTTTCTTGTCCAACTCCAAATGAGAACAGTTGGATAAGTATCAGCCTTAGATTTTGCTATGAAATTTTGATTACCTTTTCGAATGAAGAGTTCTACTGAGGCTGCATGGAAAGTATTCTGAGAGCCTTTACTGTAGCTAAAGGTGCTGATTCTGTACAAGATAATTATCCCTGTAAACATCAGTGTATCCATATTAAAAAAAAGCCCAAAACAACAAAACAACAAAACAAACCAAACTTGGTTTATTTACTGCAAGGATTTTTTTTTAATCCAATATTCCCATTAAAATATTTCTATCACATTTCCTAGGAGGTACCTCTAGCCTCCAGCTAAATGGAGTGTATAGAGATCCCCCTTAATGGACTGAGTTATTCAGATACATCAATCAAAAGTATGGCAGCAAGTAGAGCACTGGTGGTACCCGAGGAGGGTACACGGTAAGCACATGATTCCCTGCTTTTCTAGCATGCTTTGTAACTGAGTCAGCAGAGGACATCTAAATCATCCTCAAACATTGCTAAAGCCAGTTTAATTAAGTAAGGACATGTACATCTGCAAAACTCTGCTTCGGATGAAAGTCAGCATTTGTTTCAGTTCTCATTAAAAACATACAAGCTGAAAGAAAGTACTACTACAGAGGAGATGAAATTCAAAGAAATTCTGATTCAAAAAAACAAGGTGATCATCTCAGAAATACCTATATGTGATGTTCTTAGAATGTATAGGATTGTAAAAGAGAAATTAAACTTTTTTATTTCTTATTCCTAGTGTCCTGGTTTTGTAGGAGTGAGATTTTCTTGTCTTTTTTTCTAGTAGCTGTTACAGTACAGTGTTGATAACACACTGACGCTTTACTTGTTGCTGAGCAGTTGCTTCACCCTGAGTAAAGAATTTTCAGTTTCCTGTGCTCTGCCAGTGGATAGGTGTACAAGAAGCCAGGAGGAAGCCAGGAGAGCTGACACAAATTGGCCTAAGGGCTATTCCATGTCATAGAGCATGACGCCCTGTATATAAACTGGGAGAAGCTGGCTGGGAGCTGCCTTTCACAGCTCAGGGATAGGCTGGACATTGGTCAGCAGGGGGTGAAAATTGTGTGGTGCATCACTTGTTTTTCTGTGCTTTTATTCCTCTCTCTCTTTTTGTTGTCTCTTATTTATTTATTTATTTATTAATTAATTTATTTATTTATATTATTATTATCATCATCATCAACATCATCATCATCATCACCACCCAGGGCCTTTATTTACAGGTGTGTGAGCAAGTGGCACCACAGTACTCAGCTCTCGGCTGGGATTAAACCACAATGCCTGGTTACACAGTGAATATCACAATGACTCTTCTTATACAAACATAGCTTCTAAGGTTTTTATTTTGCACTGTGAGATAACACAGGCAGAATAGCCCAATACATATTAGGCAAATGTGGAGAAGAGTCTATTTTCTTAAAAGAAATGTAATAACTTCCCTCTCTCTTGCAGGAAAATAACCTTGAACAAGTGCAAGTGGTTCCTTGAGCCACAGCAAGACGAGGAAAGAGACTTCTGCTAAAGAGGTAACATCTGTTTGACCCCAAGACATGGGCAGAAGTATGGAACAAACATGACATTGTCAGCTAAAGAGTTATGTTCATGAGCCCATTAGTTATTTTGGGATGTCAGATGTTATGAACTTCACTCTAGTTTTACTATTGTCCTGTGCAGCCTTCGGAACAAGCACTGTCAACCTGTCATTTGTCCCATCTATGCTTAAGTATAATACTGTTATACTGTGTCTTGTATGAGCATTTTTTAAACTATTTAAAAATAAAATTAAATGCTAATTTTATGAAGTTGGGTATTTCTTTCTATGTTTCTGTTTAAAACTGTTTCTCTGCATGTCTGCTTAACTTATCAGGGCAAGTGAGACTGATGTATATGATAACTAATGCAAATGCTGCTTTTATATGATATAATTAGACCCTGGTGCCAACTTATTCTATGCTGACAACATTTTGCCAGCTCCTATAAACATACTGTTTCATAATTGATTTAAAGGTATTGCACACAAACAAATTAAGTGATTTTGCTGATGAATGCATCAGAGCAATATCAATTGCTCTTGATGTGCCATAGTTTCAAATGTATATATAGAAACATCTTATGTATATATATTTGTTAAAACAGTCCAAAAAGCTAAAAGGTATTAAGCACTCCCCTCAAGGATGGGAAGGACTTCAGCTGTTCTTAAAGTGGGACTTAAGACCCATAAGAGAAGTTTGGAGGGAGATGCCATGCACATGGCTCTGAGGCTGGATGGCCCAGCAGAACTGGGTTTTGAATGCAGACTGGCTGCATTCATCGTCCAGGTCATCCATGCTCTGCTTCAGCCTCAGTCTTGTCAATAGGGGAAGAAGATCAAGTTTCTTGGTGCAAAGGTGCCTGTCACAAATGTGTGTTACTGTGCAGGTTTTTGCTTTATTCCATAATGCACCTGCACCATGTGTTTGTGGCTAAATGGTCTGGGGGACTGATGCAGCCTTAAGGCTAGAAGACTTCAAGTTAATTAGCAAAGACATTTGATTACAGATAAGCCTAAAATGAATATATTGTAGCCACTTCAGCAACTGCCAGCATACATGTCTTTCCCAAAGTGATTGGTTTGTAAAATGTGGTTTTAAATTTTCGTTTTCCTTTAAATTCAAGTGGCATGTGTTTACTGTGGCTTTTGCAGCCCAAAACCTTGTTTGGCTAACCTTGTGAAGGAATCTGCATTTTGATATCCTATGCTGGGAGAGCCTCCAGACTGAAGCAGCAGTGCAGAACAGGAAGATTTTACAACAGCTCCGTAAATAGATCATTAACAAACATAGCTGTCTGTCTTAGTCAAGACAGAGCTTTAGCCTTTCAATCCATAAGGTAAAATTTGGAGGATCCTGGATTAGACAGATGTTTCAGAGAATGAGAAGGTGAAAGGAAATGGGTCACATATGCCAATGGAGGCTTTGTGGGGAGTGCAGCAGAACACCAGGATTTCAGACACAGATCTGGAAATAATGGAGGTTCAGTCCAGTTCTTATGCTACTGCAGGCATAGATGAAGAAAGCCACAGAGATAGGATTAGAAAGAGCAGGAAGGAGCACCCAGGCATAATGAATCAGCGGGGCTTGGGCACATATTAATAGGCAGAAATGGACTTTGAAGTGCAATCAGGAGCATGACAGCACAACACCTTGAAAGCAAGGGCTAAGCAAGGGCTGTTGAAATGAGGACGAACATCTGTAGCTGACCAGGCTCAGGACTCAGTGCTTTGTTCTGAGGTCAAGTCAAGACAAACAAGAACCCTTTCATGGTGTTCAGGACTGTGATATACATCCTCACTTTGTTGCTTCATTATGCAGCTGTGTAAAGATAATTGAGAGAACTAAGCTAGATTTTTCATCAACAAGCAATAAAACGTGATAAATATGCTACATCGAATGGCAAATGTTAGAATTAATAAGCTGAAATGTTGACGAATTACTGTTTATATACTTGACATGTAATAATTGCTTCATTTATCATCTGAATCTGGAAAACTTAAATAGCAGGCATTTATAATTAATTTTCTCCCCTTGCAAACTGCAATTCATTCCACACTCAAAGGAGTCAGCGTTAATTTCTTTTCTATCAGCCACAGGCCATAAGTTAATGCACGAAAAAAAGTCAGAACATTTAAAATAACAGTCTAATTAAATTATATCCTCTACTGTTGGAGAAAAACACATGATTCTTCAGGAGATAATCAGTCACCACAGCAAACACCATTTAGTTCTTCTCACAAATCTGCATCTACCCACTGGCAATCTTGGACTGTCAAGATGAAGAATTCACTTTACTGAACAGATGAAGGATATTGACTTCAGCCTCATTAGCAACTTCAAATGAGAATGACAATGGGAGTTCATTAAATAATAATATTTTTCCATATATTTAGTTTTCTTCATCATGCAGAAGAATATGCTTTTCACAGCAGCTGACAAAGCCCACGCTTCTGATTAATTCTTCTTGATCATCTAGATAATGCCCTTTTCCTGAGGGTCTTTCCTATTTGAGCAGTGAGGGCTGAAACCAGCAAGGCAGATGGTGCCCACCTCAGCTGAGAACTCTGGAAGTGCCTTGCTCCAGGTTGGATTCACCCAAGTCCCTGGGAAGATCTGGGGATTTCTGTGAGGACCACATCAATTGAAGGATCAACATACAAAGAGCTCTTCACAAACCGAAGTTGCTGTCCTGTGGAGTGGAGTGGCAGAGAATCATTAAAGAGCTGGGGGCTTTTACTCATGCAGCCATTCTAGTCAAAGAATGTTTGGGTAGATATTAAGATACACTTAATGCATACAGCAGGGAACAACTGCTCAAAGAAAGGCTGTACTAGCTACTTCTACACAGCAAAATGATCTCAGGTCTCCCACAAATAGCTACTCCTTTCTCTATGCATAGTGTGTGTGGTGCCTGTGAAAATCACTGACGTAGCTACTCCAAAGGTTATTTTATTATAGAATTGTCACAGCTGAAAAAAATCAGGTTTTCTCTTTTTTTTTTTTTTTTCAGCTGGTAGACATTCTCACATCATAAATTTCATTAAGTCCTGGCAAGAGATTGAGTACTTCATGCTAAAAAAATCCTCTCAGTATAACCTATTTACTTTTAATGATGTTTTTCCATCTAAGTACTAGCAAGAATCTTGAAATACTAAGGACAAGGATATTTTTGCAAACTGAAAATAATGAACACTTCCTTGTGTACAGCCACAACCAATTAGTTCCCAGTTTTGTGTTAAGAATGTCTTTTCAAGTATTTTTAATTTTAAGATCTTCAGGGCAAAAGAGCATGTGACTTCTCTTACGGCTCCCTACCCTAATTAGTAACTTAATTCCACATACAGAGAATTAAGTAGAACTGACAGACTACAGCTTCTCCTGCATTCTTGCAATTCTCTTTTTCACAAGATACTATTGAGGTCAGGGGCTTTAGAAAAGGATAGAAAACCATCTCTTTCAAGATGCATTCCAGCACCTTTCTCACTGATATGTAGGGAGGTCATTAATTTGTGCAGGTTATTCCAAAGTCCTCCTTTGGTATTCACACTTTCAAGACAGTGCTGTAATTCCTGCTGTCTCCAGGAAAAGGCATACCACTCTCTAGCAAGCTGCACTGGAGATATATGTAATCCATGAAGTCCTGGCTCCTGCTCCCACCACTGTTTTGGTATTTTCCATTGAAAAGTCATGGGAAAAAATCAGCAGCAGCCTCTCAGAGGGCTTCACTGCTCCCTCATGCCAGCAGAGTGCCTTTTCCAGTGGGCAGCTGGATCAGAGTCCTTTGGTGCTCCCTTGCCCTGCCTGGCAGGGCAGTAGAGAGAGGATGGGAGCTCTTTGCAGCACTAAGGATGCTCATTTGGGACACAAATAATGAGCACTTGAGCTCATTTGGCTCACCTCAAATCAAGTTAAGACACTTTGTTTAAAGGAAAGTGACAGCAAGTCCTCTTAGCAAGACTACGGGAAAAAGAGTAAGCCAGTTGTCTAAGGAGAAGGGGATAGCATCTAAATCCCAGACATCATTTTAGGCATGAAATCTGATTTTACTTAAGCACCTTCTTTCATCCTTGGCCTAGCTTTAGGGTTAAATGAAAGACACTAAGTTAATACTGCTTTGTAGCAGAGATGCCTTCTTCCTTCCCTGCCTCACTCCCTCAGCAGACTGGCCATCAGCTTTGGCTGCAACTTCAGCCCCTGGAACTGAGCACCTAACAGGAATGTGGTGTTCAGCACTGGCACATCCTTGTCCTTTCTCCAATCATATAAGGAATCACATAAAGTTGTGTTAAGGAATCAATATAGACTCGCTAAGTCTGAACACATTTTATGCAGTAGAAGGGAAAGTCAATCCAAATCCCCTTCTCATGACAAAACCACTGGTTCCACATGAAGAGATGTTCTGATCAAGCAATTCATTGGACATCCTTATTGCAAGTGGAATATCAGGGATTTTTGCCCGGTTTCTTCAGAGAAACAAAAACAAAAAAAAATGAGACAACTGAAGCAATGAACAGGGAGATTCTCTTGTTATACAGAAGATGAAACTATCAAGTAAACTTCAATTAGACTTCATAATTCAGATACATTAGCAAGAATAATTTTTAACAAATTGCAACTGCATTATAATTACATTACAATTACACTAATTGTATTGTAGTTAATGTGCCTGTACTATAATGTGCTTTTGTTTTCTTTCCTTAAACCCAGATAATCAGGTGAACTAATTACAATGAACTATTTGAGCTATATGAAAGCTGCTCTTTTTTGGCAAAGTCTCATCTCAGCTAATTACAACTTGTCCTGTTTGCTGCAGAAGGTGATCTTTGCAATTCTCCAATAAGCAACATGAAGATTGATGCAGAAAGTAATTTTGGAAATAGAGCAACATTTTAAAGCCTCAGAAGCCAGAAAAGGATGTTATCACAATATGGGATAAAATCACTTTCATGACTGAAGATCCAGTTCCAAGTTTTTATTCTACTCTAGTTACAGCAAGTACCTGAATTTACATTTCCTTATTCATTCAAAGATAGTTCAAATAAATATTCTTAATAGGATTTTTTAGGTTATTTAAAATTATTCTGAAAGGTCTTCAATACTGGACCAAGAAAATTCTTATGTGAATTGAAGCCTATATTTAAGAAGAAAAAAATCATTGTATCAAAACAGTTCTATTTTGTAAAAAGGTAGCTTTTCCAGAGTGAAAAAAAACAACAACAAAAAACCCCAAACCAGACCAA